CAGGTCGGATTCCAACCCTGGGCCGCTGCAGGACTCAGTCCATGGTTTCCAGGTCTATCAAGTGAGCTAACCGGGCGCCCCATTATTGCAGCTTTAAACTTAAAATACAAAAGATTTCAGTCTGGGTTGTACATACACTGCTGAGGAGGACATATAGAACTAAAATTAAAAATAAAAATAAACTTTTAAGTGTTAGAACTGTCAGCAGGAGATACCCACCTGCGTCCCCCCAGTGTGGCACTCTGAGTCAGGGGGTAGGAGAAGCCTGCAGCCAGCCGCAGTATCAGGAGGTAGCCCTTCCCCAAATAGCGAACCTTCTCTTCCTGGACGCAGATGTCACACAGCTGTGTCAGATCCAACACAACTGAGAAAGAGAAAGGGGAAAATAAGACTTAAGATCTAATATTCTACACTCTCAAACAACTACTGGAGGCCACAGTGCTGAGTAACCCACTCTGCAGTATTACCAACCTTTCTCTTGCCCCTTCCTCCATAACGTCAGGACCAAAGTGTACAAGCTACAGCTCTTGAGCTCGATCAGGTTCTTGGTTTTGTCGAACACAGCCTCCTCCCATTCCTCCATGTTCTGCATGGCTACAAACAGACAGCCAGTCACGTAGAAAAGCTTCCACAAGATGCTGTCTGTGTGATCCGCACAACACATAAAATACAAGAGAGCGGAATGAGTTGCAGTAAGCAAATGTGGACATGTGGTAATCATTGTTGCAAACTTATTAACAGATTATGTAAATTCAGTTAGTGCACCTGAGCTGTAGTATGCAGCTGCCAACCCAACAGACCCTATACCTGCAATTTAAATGAGATGCTTATTATTTTTTGAGGAAATACAGGGAGAAGAGATTTATTACAGAGTATGAACACATTGAGGGGATAGTGGAAGGCTTAGTTTGGTAAATGTATTTCATATTTGAATGTATAGATTGTATAAACACGCTCATGCACACTTACCGACAAGAAGAGACCAGGAACGAATGCCCGGGGTCCTCTTCAGGTGGAGCAGGGTGCCGCTGTGCTCCTCTACTGTCATGTATCCCATCTGAACAGAGGCAAGAATATAAATGTAGTGCTTCGTATCTACTAAAAGCCTATTTTTACATGACCATAATACCCGTACCATAAAGGGACAGTCAACCAAGTTACAGAAAACATATGTTTCTACTTGTCCATAATAGAATCTAGTTTGGGTTTTATACACCCAGGTTTTGAGCCATCCTTATCTGAGTTATCAAATGTCCCGGGAACCCGGAACTGCAGGGGCCCTAAAAGCTCCACGCTTATTATGTATTTAACTAGTTTGTTCTATTCTAAAAGGCCTTTTTCACAGCAGACATTTTGACTTGTTATAAGGCTAAAAGCACAGGAGTTTTTGGTAACAGTATCTGCTTTATTACCAAATCTTAAAGGACCAGTGTGTAGGATTTAGTGGCCTCTAGTGGTAAAGTTGCAGATTGGCTGGCCATGCCCTGTCCAGAAACAATGTCCTATTTACTCAGGATAATCCACATACATTGCTGACAGCAGTTTTTATTAGAACTCTTTTCTTCCTGAAGAAATAGTCCAAAAACTGAAATCTGAGATGTTCTGAGGATTGTCCATGGTAGCCAGGACATTGTTACTGGACAGACACGGTGCAGTTTTGACATTTTTCAGTCCTTCAGCAGCAGCATAAACGATTCACCAACCACAGTTCACCTCCATTATAATGGGATGGGGGCAGAAGTCTCAGGGGTAGATATAACTCAACAGTTCAACACATAAAACCCAAACTATCTACATGGCTTCATAACATAAGAGGTTATTTATTGTTGTGTTATCTGAGTGAACTGACCCTTTAAATTTATTTAAAAAAAGACAGAGCCTAAAAGACAAGACAGATGCTCCTGTTGATGATGGGGACAGCCCACACATCACTGTCCCACCAGAATAAAGACACCAACCATGAGACATTTTGTATCACTTACCTTAAACTCTTCTTTCCTTCTCTAAATCGCCTTACAAATTTCGCAAAAGAGCATTTGTACGAGGAAACGCATGCACTGAATTATAAGGAAGTTCTTTTCATTTTATTGCAACAACAACTGTCCCGAATGAGTGACACTTCCTTCCTGGATCCGCCTCTTCTGATTGGACGGGTTCAACTTCACGCTGCCTTCAAAATAAAAGCTTAAATGCATCAATTTAAGAGAAAGGTATGTATTTGTATGCATAGTCTGTTTACTACGCAAGAATTTCGATTTTTTTTTTGCAGGACAATACAATTTTAAAAACAACATTTCTTTACTTTTGTGTAGAACTAGGTTTAACTCTCCCATTATTTTGACAATAACCACTTTCAGTCACATGCTTTGAAACATCCACCGAGGAAAGCATTCCGCGCGTGGTAAAGGAGACACTTCCAGACCTATTTTGAGTTTTAAACTCCATCATATTCTTTTAATGTTGTGCCGCGACAAAGTGAACATGACCATCTTTTTAATAACCCACCAGGCAGTTTGAGAAAAAAAGCTTTGAAAATCAAAGCTTCCGGAGCAGAACGCCACTGCGTTTGCGCATGCGTCCTGGATTTAACCGGGGTACACAATGGAGTCGGACGTACATAGACATAACTGGATTTAATATTAAAAGCCCCGACGCCTTTGAGACCACTAGTTGGTATATTGTGACATAACCGCGGGGGTTAAAGCGAGCAGTGGCCCACCGCCCGCACTCGAGCTGAGCTGAAACAGAAAGAGTGCTGAGTAACTGCTGAGTTCACCTGCTGTGTGTCAGGGCTCCTGTCTTCCTCTACCAGTGGCTGCTCCTCTGACTGTCCTCTGCATTTTGTCCATGCCTTTGTTTGAAAGAGCAGTGAAGTAGAAACCGTCCGGTGAGTTACCTTAAAAATTCGACCTTGGTACGCTAACACAGGGCCTGTCATGTTAAACCAACTCCCAGTAACAAACACATGACTTGAATCAGTCGTAAGGCCTCTAACGCATCAGCAGTTTTCTTCAATGGCAATAGCTCAAATGAATTCTACGTATGCTGGCTAATTACACATTACGTATTAAAGTATTGATGTTGTTAGCTACTCGTGGCTGAAATTATAATAAGCTATAATAAAACACTCACTACTGAGTCGACATTTTTCGCATTTTACATCATGGGAGAGATACCTATTGTGTCCATAATATATGTGGGGTTTAGAGGATGATGGCTTCCAGCCCATACTTGTCTTTTTTTCCCCTCATGAGAACATAATGTGATGTAATGGCCCTCCGAGGCTGTTGTTCTTGGCACTGTGTATATAATTAACGTTAGCCATTTAGTTTTTTAATGACCGGTTATTAGTTCGTTGGCAGTTTCCCACCATTATTGTGTTCATGATAAGCGGGCTGCTCGTGTGATAGGACCGGGGGACGGCCGAGAGGAGGGTGGGGTGAAAACAACACAGTCACCATGTCAGTGCTTCAGAGGGAACATGCTGTGAGGAACTGAGGCACTGGGAAGCGAGCGGTGCTGATGTCTATGTGTGTATGTATCGCCCTCCATTTACAGATCACCGCCAAGGAAAATGTCAGAGGTCAACATAGCAAAGCGCAAGGAGAAGTGTGAGAACTGCACCAAACAGGTGAGTTTCTGGATCTCGTCTCTCTTACACATGCAGAATTTAAAAAAAATAAATGGTGAGTCTAATTACTGATCTGCCACACACAGTGCAACAAGAAGCAGAGTGATGATGGTGCCAACTCACACCAGGAGAGCGATGAAGTCAACGGACAGGTAATGTCTGTTTACTCGCCTTTTTTGTTTGTTATCGATTGATCTGGCTGAATCAGTGCTCATCAGGTTGCTTATTAAAGGGGCGTTCCCATTCAGACAGTTGTGTTATGTCTTCTGCTGCTCTGAAGGAGCTAACTTTCCATCGCAGATCGCAGCGTCTGGGGATTTTTAAAATCAAAGTAGCTGCTTGAACGGTGGCGAGAAAAGCTGCTAACAAACGCACGCCTCTTACTTCAAGGACACGCTTTACCTTATTCAGTGCTCCCCCCACATTCTCCTCTGTAGTGAAACAGACTGGAGATATAGCAAATCACATTGTATAATGAAAATAACTTTATATAACATTGAAAATGGATATTCCCAGTAGGTTACAAGTACACGTCTCTCATTGTTTCCACCCAGTTTTAGCA